GCAAGTCTAAAATCTAATCTTAATACACAGGCAATGAATTATATTTATAGAATTGCAATAATGTAATTGTTTCCTACAGATTTTCAACTTTAAGAATAATTTATGAATAAAAAGGTCAACTTTGGGGCAAAGCACAAAACCTTTATTGGTTATGGGTTCAGGGCTTTGGAATGTTAGTATCATGACAAAAAGCAATTACTATAACTGGTAGCTACCCAAACCTCCTTTACTTACAAAATGGGAAGTCAAGAAATACTGTCAAAAGTTGACCAAAAAAATGACAAAGGTGTCCTAACAAACTAAAAACAATATAAATGTTAAATTTGAGAGAGGCATAAGCTTAAGGAGCTACATTCTCACTTTCATATCAGGAGTTAAAATTGGTAAGTCATAAAATAGTGGTAAGCCCATATTAAAGTTAAGAAGGTGCCCTGGCTGGTTTGGCTCAGTGGATAGAGCGTTGGCCTACGGACTGGAGAGTCTCGGGTTCGATTCCAGTCAAGGGCACATGCTGGGGTTGCAGGCTTGATCCCCAGTATGGGGCATGCAGGAGGCAGCCAATCAATGATTCTCTCTCATCATTGATGTTTCTATCTCTATCTCCCTCTCACTTCCTCTCTGAAATCAATAAAAAAATATATTAAAATAAATAAATAAATAAAGTTAAGAAGGTAATAACTTAAGAATTAAATACAGAAATATTTAAAAAATTAAATGGTTTTCTTTGTGAGGTTTAAGGAGGTAAAGGAAACCATTGTTTTTCAACAAAAGTCCTTCTGTTCTATTGAATATGTTGCCAAGTGCATAAATCACATTGACAAAAATAATTTTCTACCACATATGTCAAAAAAGGCAAACCATGAAAATTATTACTAAAAATTGGGAATGTCAGGCAAATATTATAATTGGAATTATATTTAGGAGTGGGGATAAAATATTTTTTCTTATAGAATACTAGAGGCCCGGTGCACAGATTCCTGTACCGGTGGGCTCCCTCGGCCTGGCCTGCGCTCTCTCGCAATCTGGGACCCCTCAGGGGATGTCAGAGAGCCAGTTTCAGCTTGACCCCCCCCACAGGCCAGGCCAAGGGACCCCACAGGTGCATGATCGGGGCTGGGGAGGGACCATGGGTGGGCTCCAGGGCGTGTCCCGCCAGTCTCACCCAGTCCTGATCAGCCAGACCCCAGCAGCAAGCTACCCTACAGGTCAGAGCATCTGCCCTCTGGTGGTCAGTGTGCGTCATGACTGGTCGAGCGGTCGAGCAGACAAACGAACGACTGGAAACTTAGTATATTAGGCTTTTATTATATAAGATTATTCAAATAAAAATTTTCTGCAAGGTTTGAAAGTTCTATTGAAGCCAGATCATTCTTTATATCTTTACTTTCTGGTTTATGTACAATAAACATATATTCCATTTATAACCAGAAAATTTTTATTTTATTTTAATGTGATCAATGTTCAAAGTCAGTGATGTGCCAGGTTGCTAAGAGCCCAATACCTACACACACATCCAGCCTGATTTATGATCTTTAGAGGACAGCAGGAACAATGCAGTCATTTTCAGAGGCCATGTGTTTTAACATTTGATCCTTTATGGTTATATGCTACCCCCATGGTCGGCAAACTGCGGCTCACGAGCCACATGCGGCTCTTTGGCCCCTTGAGTGTGGCTCTTCCTAAGCCTTAGGAGTACCCTAATTAAGTTAATAACAATGTACCTACCTATATAGTTTAAGTTTAAAAAATTTGGCTCTCAAAAGAAATTTCAGTCATTGTACTGTTGGTATTCGGCTCTGTTGACTAATGAGTTTGCCGACCACTGTGCTACCCTAAAGGAATGCCTGAGCAGCAAAGGAAAGGGGTGAATGCTTAGAAAAGGTGCCCTTTAAGAGGTTACCAGAAAGTGATTACATCATATATCTAGGAACAACCTTCCCTGAAAAAATGACAAAAAGCTCTTTAAAGTATCTTAGATGTCCAGGCTTTGTCATCCATAAAGCTCATTGTTCAGTTGGTGAAGTGAGCGGGGATAAAGGTGGGTGGGGAAACTGGACAAGTGTTCAATAAACAGAGGGCAACAGATTAGAGGTCCAATCCAGGGTCCACCAGTAAATGACCACATGACTTTCCCAAAGTAAAATAATTACCCTTTTCTGAACTCAGTTTTTTTAGAAAAAAAGTTATTCATTTCTGATTTATGAAGCCCTAGCCCCCTGACCTAGAATTCTACTGCTAGCCCCGTTTCACAAATGTTGGAGCAAAGTAATGAGCAGATTTTATGAAAATTAAACCAGGGTCAGTTGCCATCATTTTTCGCACTTCTATTTATTCCACCGTAATACAGTGCCTTTTGAGGTTGTGCAACAAAGTGTAACATATTACATTTACCTTACTCCAACTTAAAGTTCCGATAGAAACTCAGAGAGCCCTGGCCAGTTGCTCAGTGATTAGAGCGCCAGCCCTCAGACTGAAGGCTTTCAGGTTCAATTCCCAGTCAAGGACATGTACCTCGATTGCAGGTTCCCCAGTGATACATCTCCCACTGCAGGATGTATCTCTCTCCCTCTCTCTTCCTCAGTTAAAAAAAAAAAGAACTTCAGAGAACTTTGGGCAGATTGCTAATCTCAAAAGACAATAGTCATGCCCTGCTGGCTTGGCTCAGTGGTAGAGCTTCAACCAGGTCACTGTTCGATTCCCGGTCAGGGCACGTGCAGAGGCAGCCAATCAATGATTCTCTTACTGATGTTTCTATCTCTCTCTCCCTCCCCCTTCCTTTCTGAAATCAATAAGATTCCTGGTCAGGGCACATGCCCGGTTTCGGGCTCAGTCCCCAGTGTGGGGCGTGCAGGAGGCAGCTGATCAATAATTCTCTCTCATCATTGATGTTTCTATATCTCTCCCTCTCCCAAATCAATAAAAATATATATTTTTTAAAAGACAATAGTCATGATGACTTAATTTAATTCCTTTAGCTACTTGGCCAAAAAATTTCCAGGGATAACATCAGTTCAGGCTATCCTATTTATTTTTTCAGCTGTTATTTTCACTGAGGATCCAGTAAAATGAAGACGCACTTTGCTTTGAGTTGGGGAGTGGTTGTAGTTGGGGAGATGGGCAGAGGGATCAGGGCAACTTTCTCTCTAAACTCAGGCCAACTTCCACTATTACCCATGTTTCACAAAGATAGTTCTGAGCTATTCCAATCATTCAAAATGTGTATAAAAGGGAATTATTTTGTTTTGCTTTTATTTGAGGGTTGTTGTTTTTTTCCTATCTTTCCTCAGATAATGGGTAAGCCCAGCTCTTATTTCTTATATACTTTTCTGTGTATATTCATAAACAGTTTAAAAATCATTTGGGCCCAAAAATGATCCCCCCAAATTACTGTAAATTATTATGTCTTTTTCGGTTTTATTTCTTACCAAGTCCATTTCTAGAAAATTCACAATAAAATATTCAAAACTGCATTTACCATTAATACAAAAGGCTAGTTATTTTGGACCTTTATTAACTATAGAAACTAATGTCATCCTTCAGCACAACATCATCACATTTAAGAAAATGTCATGTTATTACATCATACACTGGAATTCCACCAGCCATTTAAAACTCATAGGACTGAGTACATGTCCACACTGTCACTTAAAAACAGGGAGAAGACCAGTGGTGGGATAAAATGGCCATCAAGTCTGTTCCAAGACAAGTGCTTCCCAGCATTGCACCAACCCCAGAAATAAAATAAAGAACTCCTCCTCCTTGCACAAGATGTCCAACAGCTTGGGATGAGGAAGAAATCCTTGGTCACCAGTGTGAGCCAAAGTGCTGGTTATAATAAACCTCGTCCATTACTGTATATTCTTTATCAGGGCCCTCCGATAGCAATCAAAGTATCAAATATTAACGCCAAAGAAAGGACTGATTATATTTTTAAAATAGAATCTAATGTCTTAACTTTCAAACAAAGGCTGCACCATTAAAGAAACATGGACTTTAAATAAACAAACTCTAAAGGCAAGTTCTTCGAAGAGAAGTTTCCCTCAGTGGCTGTGAACAGCCGGCTGGTGCAGACACTCCTGAACCAAGTGGTCCAGTTGCACAACTTCCATCTAGGGCCTATGGATAGCCTGAGCCTCCAAGACCTCACAGGTTACCTTTTAAGTTCCAACTTGGTTTCTCCTCTGGAATATAATTATCTTAGGGTACCACAATTGAACAATTTTCTTTATATCTGTGAACCTATTTTCCTGTACAGTCTCCAACATGAATCTAATGTAAAATTCATTACATCAGAAAGCCGGAACAACGTGAAGGGAAGAATGACAAAGTAGGCTCCTGATTCGATGGTATTTTAGGTTACCAAGTATGACATAATACAACTCCTGACCCAATTTCCACACAATGCATTTGTCCAGACCACAACTACTTCACCAGCAGTTGCTAATTACATCACTGTGCTGTGTGCTCATTACATCACCCAGCTGGGAGGTATGGCCTACCAGGCAGTGTTCACTTTTCCAGCTTTTCCCCAGAATAGAGAGACTGCAGACCACCGAGAGTCCCTCTTCTCCTCCAGTCTCAGAACTTTTCTCACATGTTTTTGGTGTCACATCTCAATGGACCAGGTATCTGACTTAGAATGGACAGGGATGGGGTAAGGGTTTGTGCCCAGGAGTTTGTATCAATACTCCATATTCAGGGCAAAGTCCCTAAGTGTTTCATGAGAATCCTCCCAAAACTACTTTTATGTCTCCTATCTCTAAGCGTTTCCATGTCCTGAATGTCCTGGAATGCCCTGGAAGAACATCACCAGAGTCTCTGCTTCTGTTTCCTTACAATTCCAATATCCAGGGATCCACTCCTTACTTCCAGCTTCACAATATTTGGGAAAGAACCCTGGAAAGACACACCATCACACACACACACACACACTTGCGCGCGCACCTCGGTATCGTGACTCTCTGCCCCCTTCCCCCTTCCCCCGCTCCAGGCTGACTTACTTGAGGAAGTATCTCTGGCCAGTGGTCGTGAAGGTCATCTCCCAGCCCGGGGGGAGCGGCAACTCGTCAGTCACGTCGTAGGATTGCTGGCGGAGGTGCGCGTGCTGCTGCGCGGCGCTGATCGC